TTGATGCTCTGTATGTGATGACTACTTCCATTCTGGAGAGGATCACAGATACATGGATCCTGAGGTTAAAGCTCAAGCCGGTGATGAGGGATTATTAACATTTTTAAGTATTCAGAAAAAGTCAGAATTTTGAGATTTTTGAGAAAAAGTCAGAATTTTGAGATTTTTGAGAAAAATACCAACGAATTCTCTTTTTTTGTTTTGACTAATTCCATTCTGGAGAGGATCACAAATACATGGATCCTGAGGTTGAAGCTCAAGCCGGGGACCAGGGAGATTTTTCTAACACTTCTGTAGTAACTCTGCAGGATGTAATGGTGGTGTTTGTGGCCAACCTGGTCCGGAGACTCCATGGACGAATCCAAACTCGCTCTCCCTCTCCTCGTCCCTGATCCTGGGCAGGTTGGACATGTCCATCTTCACGGTTTATAAATCCAACTGAAAGGAAACAAACAAACAAAGTAAGGACACAGAGCAGGAAAGAAGGACATGAACCACAGGGCTCAAGGAGAGGCTGATCATTACTGTGAAACGCTTATAACCAAATGTGTGTTTTTACATTTGAATTATTGAGCGCTTTTATTAGAAGCAGAAGAGCAGCTGTGGGCAAGAGCTGTTTGATAACTGCAGTCATTTCATATGAGACCACACAGAGCTGCTTCAGAACTGAGACACTGTTACCAGCCTTATAATTACACATAAAGCATTTAGTTCATATTTATCTGTGAAGAAGTAGAGTCGTTCTCATGATCACATTAGGATCACACAAAATAGATTTCTCACCATAAAGGGAGACAAAATGAAAAATAACCCATAGAAAATATATTTAAAAGTTAAAGATAATACGGGAAATAACCCACTTATTCAGATGTAAATATGTGCGTAGCATCGTGCCATACCTCGATAGTGGCATCTCCTACTGTAACCATGGAAACCACTAGTCAAAAAACATCCCTGCTGCTCACGACTCTTTATTTCTCATGAGCATTACGGTGCCTTTTCCGGGCCAGGCCTCCTTATCTGCTGCTTCAGGTGCAGGAGAACAGTCGGTGTGACATAAGAGGGGGATCCCATAGAGCACTTACGTGTTTATAACTTATGTAAAAATGCTCTTTTCTCATAGAGATTGACAAGTGTTTTCCAAGTGGTGCATGATTCCACATTTCTCCTCTAGCAGGAATAACAAGCTGTCATGAGTCGTGACACAAACCCATCCTCACAGAGAGCTGACAGCAGATGCACTGCACCTATTACAAATCTGCTTAATCTGCAATATTCTGTGGGCGTCACACAAAGCAATCCATTCAACATGCTCTTACTTCCTGAATGTGCCATTTATAATTCTCTATTTGATATCCGTAACACACATGCAGTTCTCCACATCCATGCCCTTTTTGTGTCCTTCCCACTGATGCACAGATCTTCCTGTTTATGCTGCTCAGCCCATCTGTGCAGGAACATAGCAGCTCCACCAAAGGACCAATGCAGGAATTACAAGACTGGCACCTAAAGAGGTTTCACTCAAACTGAGCACAACTTCCACATTACTCATGCCTTGAAGTATCTATGTTAATTTCTTCCAAAAAGGAGAAAACAGTGAGCCGATAAGGTCTATTGTTCTGGTGGTTAATTCATATATTATATAACAGAGAAATCTCTATCTGCTTGATGAGTTTCAATCTCCAAATCTAGATTTACTTCCTAAAAAAGGCCTTATAATGCCACCATATTTGATCGAAGCTGTTAAGGGCACATTGATCTGCGTTCATCCCTGCTGCAACAGACACTTGATCATATGATCTTGGCACATGACTAGTCGTCCTGGTCTCTATGAGTGTCTTTAAGGAAGTGGAAAACTAGCATGGTGCAAAACTGGGAAGTACACGTTATGACTGTGTGAGGACACAGTGAAGACACATTCTTCCACATGACTACAATCCATAATAAAGATAATTGTACCCTTCCTTACTACACTGCTGAGCTTAGATGGTATGCTGGTTAATGTGTGCTGGGTACTAAAGAAAGGATTGCATATATTCAATTGTTGGAAACGTGTAGGTTTGATGTCAAAAATAGACTCAGAAATATCACATGTAAGTGCAAAACATCCTGACACAATGATGTAAATTGCAAATTCCTTACATGCAGGTAGTTGGTCGCATGATAGTAGCTTAAAGGTTTTGTTTTAATGTAAAAACACATGCCAAAATAAAGATATAATGGCCTTAGAATAAACTGGGGGCCTGTTTATGATATATGTAATGTGAAAATGTATTTATGAAGGATATCTAGTGTGCCAGCTTAACTAGAAACTCATTTACTGACACCGAAATTAGTCCAAAAACAAAAACATATGATAAATAAAATAGATTTTCATTCAACCCCACTGAATTGATTAAGGTTATTCGGTGTTGTGAAAACGATAGCAGGTCTGGCCTGGCTGAAAATCGATGGTTCTTCCGTTTTTTGTTCAACCAAATGTTACATTATCCACACACGACCAGGATAGAAGTGCATAATATCGACAACACAGGTAAATAAAATGCTTTAGTTACCGTCTTGGTGTGGAGTGGTGGTTTAGTGTCTTGCCTCGAGAGAGAAACGCTGGTTGCTGCGGTGCGTGACAGCAGACTGAGATCAGCTGACTTATTTCACTGCTGTTTTACTGCTGGGCCCAGGCAACTGGCGCCATTTTGGCTCCTCCTCCGGGCTCTGCCGTAAAGAGTTTAAAAGTGTTAGAGATTGACAACTGTGGATGGAGATTCGTCTGTCAACACATGCAAGAATACTAGTCAGTAGTCTATACACACAAACATATGTATCCAGATGGAATAGAATGAACACAATTGTATAGTATTAATTGGATACTTTTCCAGAGTATTTTCCATACTGGTATTAGGTACTGTCGGGTCGAGAGAGGAGACTATCTCTTAAGCGCTTAATATCTTTGCAGGAACGTTTGAGCCAAAATGGAGGCACTATCACAAATTGCTGTGGGGAATTGTTTACTTCATTAAAATCGCTCTCTCTCTGTTCCAACATAAAGTTGCGATTTTAAGAGGATTTAGTTGTTTGTTTTGTTTTTGTTGTCGTGTTCATTGCTTTTTCCCTGAGCTGTGGTCCACACTCCCATACAGTAGGTGGCGGTAATGCAACTTTAACGCTGGTTGCCACCCGCCATAAGACCGTGGAAAGAAGAAGGAGTCGTGTTTGTGCGCATGCGCGGGGTCAGGGTTGACAGTTTCCAGTCGTGGAAAGAGTGCGGCGGCTAAGCTAAGTGCTACCACCGCAAAACTAGCTACATGTGGAGGGTAAAACGGGAGCCATCCCCGACCCTTACTCTGTCAAAACCCCTCCTTTTTTACCCAGAACAACTCTAAAGTTCAGCATCATCGAACATAAGGGATAATATCTGTTTACAATGAAAGGGTGAGTGTAATCTTTTGAGTCACGATTAAGTAGCTTAGCACGAGTAAAGTTTTCATTTTTTCTATACAAGGGGAGGAGACGGCGAGGCTAGCTAGCTTGAAAAGCTACTTTTAATAAGGTGTAGCAGGAAAAATTACAAAGGACAGCACCGTTATAGAAACAGTTCTGTGAAGAATGTGTTTGTTAACTTAAGTCGGTTCGTTTAGACGGCGAACAAGCAAAGCTAACTAGCTAGCTGCTACTAGGGAGCTGAGTCAGTAAACCTACTTTAAGCTAAGCTACACACACTTTGGAGATTCAAAGCCTTTATTGGCATATGAACAGTAGCTTGAGTGTAGTCATGGCAATACAAATATGAAGTCACAGTCTCCTCCAACAGCGGAAAATAAATATATTTATAAGACATACATTTTTTTTTAAAGAATACAAATAGTGCAAAAAGAAACCGTAGAAATAAAATAGTGCAAGATTATAAAGAAGAAGTCAACTATATACATGTCAAATAAAATAAGCTACATTTTTTTCAAATGATCAAGTAATTGCATATACATGTAAAAAGATCAACAAGAACAGAATGTAACATGAAATACTGTAAAGTGGAATAAATACTGGTAATTGTAGTAATAAATACATTTGTGATGTAAACGGATCAATGTCGTATGGCCTGTGAGATAACACTGTGTGTGTGGGTGTGTGTGGCTGTGGCTACATTTAACTTCAGCTGCAGGGAGGTAGATCACAAAGTTACTGCACAAGCTAATAGCACATTGAGCGTATATTGGCCAACCCTGTGTCAGTTACCGTGCTAACGTTACAACTGACATCAACTTCAGAGCCTCATCGAGCTTGCTCAGTGTAACCTGACATATCGAAGAAGGTTAACACACCAGCAGGGGTGATGGACGATGTAAAAAAATGTTGGCCACGGTGTTAATTCTCAGATAACATGAGGGCGATTAACGCTGAACTGTGTTTGAATGTTCAGATAGGATTTCAGAGGCGGTACTGTTTGAAGTTCAGACGGATGCTGGCACTGTATATTTTCATGAACAACACACGTGGCCAACAGCTGTTTTTAGGATGTTTGGATGACTATAAATACCACAGTTAACCCCTCAATCATACACATGAGCTGCAGAGTAGTGTTTAAGTCACACTTTATTATAACACACATATTCACAGGTTATCGTGTCTCTTGATTTTAACAGATGCCATATCAATTTCTTAGTAAATATAGGGCAACAAATTCAGAACATTACATTTGAAATTATTTTTGAAGACCTCTCAAGTAACCAATTTAACCATTTCAGTTTTAAGAAATTCTCAAAGTGACCTTTTGTGAGTCCACTGATCTTGAATATAACTGTGTACCGATTGTCAGCCATTTGACCGTTTTGCTCTTGTTCCAGTAGCCGGATCGAGCTGGGGGATGTTACGCCCCACAACATAAAGCAACTGAAACGCCTGAACCAGGTCATCTTCCCTGTCAGCTACAACGACAAGTTTTACAAAGATGTCCTGGAGGTTGGAGAGCTTGCAAAGCTAGGTAAGAAACCGCTAACATTAAACTCTCTCTGCACATTAAGCATTCTTCTTGACCTGCTTTGTTTCCTCAGACACAGCCCTGTCTGTTGGTGATATTTGAGTTTCCCTCATATTTGTCTTGCAGCATACTTCAATGACATTGCAGTGGGAGCTGTGTGCTGCAGAGTGGACCACTCTCAGAACCAGAAGAGACTGTACATCATGACGCTCGGCTGTCTAGCACCCTATCGTAGACTTGGAATCGGTAAGCAGTCCCAGATCTCTAGAAGAAGGTTCAGTGCCCTTTGGGATCTTTTGTTTCTAACTCTGCCCTTTGTCTTTCTCTCCAGGTACAAAGATGCTGAATCATGTGCTAAACATCTGTGAGAAGGATGGCACGTTTGACAACATTTACCTGTGAGTGTCTAATTGCAGACCTTGTGTAACAATATATCATTGCCATCTTAGTTGATTCTACAAAAGCATCTGTTCCATCACTAACCTAATTTCCTCTTTCCCTCTCCAGTCATGTGCAGATCAGCAACGAGTCAGCCATCCACTTTTATCAGAAATTTGGCTTTGAGATCATCGAAACGAAAAAGAATTACTACAAGAGGATAGAGCCCGCAGACGCCCATGTGTTGCAGAAGAGTCTGCGCAGCCCATGTGCCCCCCCCACCGGAGAGCTTCAGAAGGCAGAGTAGGGGCGCAGCGTTTGGAAAGAGCACAAATGTGCCGCCTCCACAGAAACAGAACTGTGACAAATGCCCCAGGGTCGACACATTCAACACTTTCTTCAAAGGACGCTAAAAAGAGAAAACAAATATAAAGTACAAAAAATGCTGCATTTATTTTGCAAAGAGGTCACTCTTTGATTTTTGAATATTTTATTGCTCCCCTTTCCTCATACCAGATAATTGAACATGACAAAACGCTCAGAATCCAAAAGTGCTCCCATTTATCAAAGTTGCCAACAGTTTTAGACACAGTGAAGGGGGAGGGTGTGTTGTTTGCAAATCATACTGTTTGTGTTCGATTTGTTTTTATGCGGTTATAAAGCTCATGGGACTATCTTTACTGTTGAGCAAAAAACAACAGGTGGTTTGAAGCTGTAAAAGTGTTGAGAGACCATCGCTGACACACACGGGTCCCAGCTGCTCAGCGTGGAGTGATGCTTTGAGATGTTACGTGGAACAGTCACAACTCTATTCACTCACCACCTAAACCCTGGTATTTACAGGAAGTGAGTCTGACCGGCTCGTTGATATGTCACGTCCAGAGGGGACACGCAGAAATGCAGCCCCCTCGGTTCGGGCGTATAGAAGGCTGACCGGTTCAGAGGTGGTGGGAAGACGTGGTTACCTCTCATAGTTTCTGAAAACCTTTTATTTTCCAGCTTGTTAATTTAAATCCCCTTCAACTGTCATTTTTACTTTTGACATTAAAATGGCAAATTGTTCAGAGGTTCTCCTGGGTTTACTACTAAAACTGAAAACATTAAAGAATAAAAACAAACAAAATATTGTATTGAATGTGTTTCTTAGAATGTCACTCCACGTCTTTTTGTGCGGAGTTTCCAAATAACCGATTGGAAATTGCATTTGGGCATTATTTCAGGAGTACAATAAAGGTGTGTGAGGATGTCTGTCTCTTAAAATACATGTTTTGAGACATCTTACCTTAAAACACCTTTGGCACCTTATGTAGCCAGATTTGGTCTTCTCAAGCTACTTGTCTCAGTCAGCTTCTGTTTCACACATCATTAGGTTTTGAAGCCTGGCTGAAGTTGTATGGTCTCTTGAACAGTATTTTACCCAGAGGAAGCTCTGTTCCCTCTGCATGCATGGGGAGTTGTGTCTTCTCCACTGTAGTATAAGCATGTTTTTCCTTTCTTTGAAGAATTTTATCTTTTCTGGAGCTCTATATTGTAAGACTTTTTAACGTCTAAATAAAGGAATTACTATTTGCAGTAAATACTTTGCCAACTGTGTAATTTTGTTCCATGAAAATTGAGAATGATTAGCTTTATGCACATAATTATGGTTAAAAATCAACATCTTCTTCATAAAATAATATACATTATACATACCTTGCTGGAAGCCCATGTTGCCTCGTGATTGGCTGAAACCTCCCACGTCTGAATCCTATTGGCTGTCAGCGCCGCCAGAGCCCTCCCATTTCCGCACAACGTTAGGTGTATCTAGATTGTTTTGGGAAATGAGTAGAGTTTAATGCTATGCTAGCCAACAGTTAGCTTCCAACCTTATAGTACTCGAAGCGACTGACAGTCTCCAAAATGCTGAGGCTAGAGGTCAGTGTAAACTACCATACATTAACAGCATATTAACAGCAGCAAGGAAAGAAATACTCCGTTAATTTGCTTAATTATCATGTCGGTAACGGTAAAGTAAGCTAGCTATTAGCTTATCTGGCTAACAGAATGCTAACTGAATAGCTAATTGCTTAGGTTGCTAGTTTCTTGCTGGTTAAGTGACGGGATAATACAATGAGCATCGCTATTTAAACCTGGACCCACAACTATGTCTGCAATGCGTGGTAAATGCTGTAATAAAGCTTTAATATGCAGGTAAAAGACTCAATGTTAGCTTTAAATCTATGAACTATCTATCAACACAAGCTTGTTAGCATGTATTTGTTGTAGAAGGTCTGTGTGGATTAACAATGTATTTTAACTTGATTATGCTGTATCAATATGACAACATTACTGCTGTGTAATAGCTTCTGCATGATTTTTTTATTTGGTGTTTTACAGTCTGGTGTCATGATAATTATTTAAAAAGTAATACTGTGTATTTTATGTGTTGATCGCAGGAGGGCCACGAAAGGGATTTAAGATCCAGCTGTTAGATGTGTTGACTGGTTCCTCATCATACAGGCAACTGTAAGGACAGAATGCCAGAGATGACTGAAACTCAGTCACCTGGTCGTAAACCTAAGTAAGGATGCTCTTCTATATCGTTGTTTTCACTCATAATTAGAGGCTGTTGGTATTTGTACAGAGTTGTAATAACAAATGTTAACAATCTTTTGCAGAAAGAAGAAAAACAAAGAATCTCACAATGCAGGTGAATCAATGCATCCTTATTGCTCTGTTTAAAACTTAGTGAAATATTGTTACTGTCACTATAAATGGTACTGGACATTAACATTTAGTCTCTTCTCTAATGTAGTTGAGAGACACAGAAAAGAGAAGATTAATGAGGGGATTAACCGCATTGGTAATCTTCTCCCCTGTTCCCAGGCACTTAAACAGGTAAGAGACAAACTGCCATTACTGTCAAATTAGTGTCTGTACAAGCCAGTTTACTGTTGAGTGTTTTATGTTTGAATATCTTACCTTTATTCTCATCTGTAGAGTAAGAACATGATCTTGGACCAGGCTGTTCGCTACATCACAGAGCTGAAGAAACAAAATGACACATTTCTTCTGGAAGGAGGAGATAAAGTGCAAGGTGAACAAATGTCCACCTGTCACATAACTTTTGCAGTAATGCATATTGGATTTTCTTATAGTTCAAAGGGGACCTATCATGCAAAATGCACTTTTTGATGTCTTTTATACATAAATGTATGTGTTTCCTCCGTACCCACATTTCTAAAAACGGGGGAACAACGGAGCTGATCCAGATTTGCGTCCGATATGACGTAATATCTGAAATGTGGACCCACGGCCCTATCAGAAACGTTGCTATCAGAAACAATGCCCGACTGTTTTGGACGTAATATGGTCGGTGTTTACATTAGCATCGCTAACACTCAGAGCTAACCTGTACTGGAGAGCATGTGTGTGAAGAAGCAGGAAATAAAAAGGAACTCACCTTGTGGTATAACCGGCAAGAGAGAAAGCCTTTGAGCTCCATACTGTTTCAGAGATAATCCTTGATAATCCATGATATGGCGTTTCATCACGGCAGCATTTAGTTTAGACAGTAGCTGCCGGGTCCCGCATGAGCTCAGCCACCTCCTTTTATATTAATCAATTTTTTAAAGCTTTATACCCAAAATCAGCACTTTTGAAACAGGAAGTGAAATAGAAGGATATGAGCTATGGCTAGAATGGGAGATCTGTTTGGTATTTTGAGCAAAACACTTCATAGACCTGTTTTTTATATATTTTTAATATATCTGAGACCTATGCTTTAGCCTAAAAATAGCATGATAGGTCCACTTTAAGTATACTTGAAAGTGTAATGTGCACCTGATTGATTACATGTGTGCTTTGTCTCTGTGCAGCGGAGGAGATCCGTCGACTGCGGCGTCAGCTGGAGGAGATGAGGAGGGAGAGTGATCACTACATCGAGCTCCTCAAATCCAATGATATTAACATCCTGGAAGACCCCACAATTCAGTGGAAGGGCAAACAGCGATCAGCCAAGGTTGCAAAGGTGACCCCCACTCACCAACTCCCAAAGGGGATCATCGTATACCCCAACTTGAAGGAGACTAGCCCAGCGAAACATCCTACTGAAGCATTAATCCTTCATCCACCTCCTGAGGGCGGTGCCAGGTTGAGGGTGAATGGAGCCCTGCTACAAGTCAATACCTCTTCATCCACCCCTGCACTTCTCCCTGTCTCGACTACCATCCAGACTACATCAGGCCTGAGGATGATAGAGCAGTGTGTGGTGGAGGCGCAGGCTGCAGCCCCCACTATGCCACCCTCTGTGTCTTACATCACCCTCCAGATCCCTGCAGGGACCACAGCGCTGCCCCAACAGCCGCAGCCTGCCGCCCCGGCCCCCACCTTGGCCTCACAGCTCCCCACCATTATCCCTGCTCAACCCATGCCCAATATCACCACCTTTACCCAGGCTGTAAACACATCCAGAGCCTCAGAGCTTTGCTCGTGGGTCACACAGGACACCGCCATGAGGCCTGTGAGCTACACCGCCATCCCCAACAGCCACGCCCTCCTCAGGGCGGGGGCGGCCGGCAGCACCCAGACCACCTGGACGACGCTGCAGATGGCAGGAAACACAGTGCAGCCAGTCTGCCAGAGTCTCCCCACCCATGAAGTCATCAACACCACCCAGGCTGTCCAGCAGGTGACTGTGTGTCCAATGGGCAACAAAGCTACCGTTCAGCCTATTCAAATACAGATGCAACCACACGTGCCTGTACAGCAAGCCCCCATCACAGCCCACATTCAAGCGCAGCCCTTTCAGGGAGCTATCCTGAACAAGCCCCATTCTGTCCTGGCCCCCCATCAACGCTGTGCTATCCTCTCACAGTCGGCCATTGCTCCCCACCCTGCCGTCATGCCGTCGCAGCCCCAGCCTGCTGTCCTCCAACCAGCGTCATTGGTTCCCCATCACACGGCAGCCCTCCTCCCTCAGCCCCTCCCCCAGTCTGCCCTGGTGCCCCAGCCACAGGCCACAGTGCTGCCTTTCCTTCAGACCATGCAGGTGCTGCAGGTCAACCCGACGGGAGGAATGGCCTCAGGTGTGTCGGCTCCTCAGAACACCAACAACCCGAGCGTGGTCATCCTGCAGCAGGCCAGCTCCTGCCCTACACAGTCAGTCGTGAGGGAGGAAATGACCAATCAGACACCATGTCAGCACATTGTCATCATCCAGGCACCCAATCAGGTTGCGCCCGCCACTCAGAATCCTCAGGTTGGCATGGTGTCTGCTCCCGCTGCACTACCTGTTGTCTCCACTCACATCCCCACAAGCAGCAGCTCAGCGTCTGCCACGTCCTTACAGAGTGTTGTGGGGAAGCAGCTGGTCCACATCCTCCCTCGTCCTCAGACGAACCTCCCGCTTCAGGTCACTCAGGCCTCCTCTTCCTCATTGGTTCCTTCAGCTCCGCAGACTATCACTGTCAACGGCCAGGTGTTTGCCCTGCAGCCCATGAACACCTCAGACAAATCCAATACCCAGACCACCACACTGCAGCTGATCCAGCCCACCACCACAGAGGAACCAACGACTAACGTGGCCCTCAACAGTTTGGGGGCACTCAGCAGTCTCAATCAGAGCATCTCTCAGGGCATTCCACTCACAATTTCTAACCATGGTCAGCCCCAAGCTATTCCATCATCAGGAGTCCAGCAGAAGCAGCCTCCTGCTCCAGCGTCAACCACACCTGCTTTACCTGCACGACAGCTCCAGGTCCCTTCTGTAACCCCAGTCAAATCAGGGCTAAATGCCTCTAAAGCACCAGGAAAGAGGGTTCGCACAAACACAAAAAGGGCAACGGCTAAAAGGACTAAACCAGCCAAGACAAAAGAGCTTACTGCAGCACCGCCTGCTGCTGCTGTTTCAGCCAAGCCAGTGGTTGCTGCAGGAGATAGTCAGAATGTTCAAGTTTCAGCGTCTCAAGGTTTAAAGTCAGCTTCCACTGTGAAAGTCACAGACATTCCCCCCACCTGCACCACAGCTGTCACAACCACAGACAGTAGAGAAGCTGCAGGGAAAGCAACTATGACACAAGACACTCAGATATTGGTTGTGTGTTCATCTAGTGAGTCAACTCAATCCAATGCACAGAGCAAAGCCCCTGTCAGTTCGCCTCAGACAGACGTATTCAGTCATACCAACACTAGTGTTACTACTGTTACCATTGCTAATGCTACACTGGTTAAGCCAGCAGTTGCCATTGAGAGTAAACCAGCTGTTTCTAGCAACGGCTCATCTGTAACCAAACTCTCAGCTCCAGAGGTCAAACAGCCGACCTCCAGTTCAGCCGCCTGCTCAACACAAAACAAGTCAGCCGCCACCTTTGCTGTTTCCATACAGAGCAAATGTGTGGTCAGCTCTGCAGGGGCCACCGAGACACTTTATACTCCCCCCACTGTTTCTACTGCATGTCTGACTCCAGTCTGCACCACCACTTCAACTGCACCAGTATCTTTATATCAGGCTGCCCAACCCACTTCAGTAAGTCGTCCCCAGGTGTCGAATACCCAAGATCCTTTGCCCTGCTCGAAAGCTCAGTCTCAGCCCATCTCCTCAGCCTCGCTGTCCTCACCTGGACTGCTAACTTATTCTGCAGCCCACAGCTCTGTCACAGCTCCTACAACAAGCTCCGAGTTTAGAAAAAGAGTCTCCACCAGTCGAGCTCAGACTGACGTGAATATGCACACCCCCTCCCACTGCAATCCGGCTGAAGTCAAACCCCCCCAGCCTGCTAGAAGAGACCGAGAGGGCTCCCGGTAAGAGAGAACTGAAAAAGATGGCTTTGTTGCAGCGACTTCTGTCCTCTCCTCTCGTAAGGACTTCCCCTCATCTCAGCAGGTGTACACTAACCTTGACGATGAAGCGATAGAGCACCCCAGCAGACAGACCGACTCCCCCATGTCTGCAGGGGCCGGGGGAGGCAGAGGATTCTCTGTGGCATCCATGCTCCCCCAGGGTCACACTATAAGTGGGTCTTCTAGCTCGTTCGGAACATTTACCTTCACTTCGGAGCAGGCAGAAATGCTGGCCTTGGCGATACTCGAGCAGGACAGTCCTGGGCGGCGCACTGTAAGCTGCTTCAGTCAACACGGCGTCAACAAACCCCCCACAGCCACATGGGAGCCCCCGAAAACCCCAGCAGTGTCTAGCAGTAAAGAAAGGAGCTCAACTGGACAGCAGGGCAAAGCGGCTAAACCCATGGACTCAGTTAAACCAGCTGTATCTGTCAGGGGTCAGGCTGGGGAGGGGCCCAATGTGAGCAGACATCAGCAAAACAATCTCATACGGCCAGTCCTCCCCCACGGTCCAGCCTCAGAGCTCCTCACAGAGCGGCACCAGCCTCAGCGTCAACAACCTGATCCGGCCCAGCTCAGCTCAGCAGCCGTACCCCGCCTCCCCGAGTCTCGCTGGCTCACAGGGCTCGGTCCCGTCCCCTGTAGGAACCCACATATCCCAACCCCTGAACAACGCCCTCTCCCCCTGCTCAGGCGCAGCCCAGCTGAACGAGTTCACCCCCTTAAAGACGCCGTTAATGAGGGCTGGAGGCGGGGTCGGCGAGCGCCAAGCGAAAATCATCTCCAAGCGGCAGGCCCAGGAGGAGGCGATGCTGAACACCGGGAAACGACCCAAGCCTTGCCCTCCGTCTGCTCCCACTGTCAGCCATATGGATGTCAAAGTGCCGGACCACAGCCAGATGATGGTGGGACAGATTCCCCCCACCTCCTCATCCGTCATGACAAGGATTAACCCAGAAAGTGGAGGCCCTCTCTTCTCCACAAACTCCTTCATGAGCCCCGTACTTCGGCCCTCGGAGGGCCACTGCGCTCCTCAAGAGCAGAACCAGCCGGGGGTGCTCCACCTGCCTCAGGGTCATCCTCAGCACCCCCAGCCCGGCCAGCACCTGGGAGGAAACCTGTACATGAAACAACAGCAGCAGCAAGAGCAGCAGAGACACCACCTGTACCATCTGCAGCACCACCTGACCCAGCCGGACCCCGCACAGCGACACTCCCTCCACCAGAGGGCGCTCCAGCAGCAGCAGCAGCAGCAGGAGCAGCATGTGCAGAAGAAGCGGGGGCCTGTCAGAGGAAGTCAGACCTCTGCTAACCTGCAGCAGAAGCCCCACCACCTGGAGAAGTCTGGAGTTCAGCAGCACTCACACCAACAACAACAGCACCAACAACACACACAGCAGCAGCACCAACAACAGTCACACCAACAGCATCAACAGCCGACGCAACACCAACAGTCTCAGCACCAACAGCACCAACAGCAGACACACCAACAGCAGACGCAGCAGCAGCACCAACATCAGCAGCAGCAGCAGCAGCAGCAGCAGCAGCAGATCCAGCAGCAGCAGAGCTCTCACTCCAGACACCAGCAGCACCTCCAGCAGCAGATCCAGCAGCAGCAGCAGCAGCAGCAGCACTTCAGACACCAGGAGAAGAGCTGTGAGGCTGCAGGGTCCAGGGGCCACCACAGCGGACACCTGGCCCCGCAGGAGCACCTCAAGGTGGGTGTCACATGGTTGATGCAAAGACAGTTTGATTTGATAAGATGGGATCATAGTCGGGTCATCCGTGGTATTTATGTTGAGTATGCAGCTGGCATGTGCAGCGCTCAAACTGTATTAGTCAAATCACTCAAATGGGTTAGATCAAGAAAGTTACAACAGGTATGCTCATATCTTTTGGACTGGTTGGTACATTTGAAATACTTAGCTGCAGCGGATCACGTTTACTCTGCCACAGCATCAAATAATCCTGAAGCTGCTTGCGTAGGAGCTTTCCTCTGTCCTGGGCCTTGCTTATAGCTGCAGCTGAGATAAGAATGGAAAAATCATGATATATTATAATAAATAACTTCAGTTCAAAATGATTACAATAATTTTATCTTGTCAGTGGGAAGTTATACATCTTTCGGAACCGTTGGGAGAATATGTTGATAAAGTTATATCTAATAAGACTTTTCTTTGTACTTTGCTCCTCCCTCAGCCTGGTCAGGACCATAATGCAATGCAGAGGATGATGAGCACAAGGACTCTGGAGCAGCAGCTCATCCCGTCTCCCAGTAACTCTGTGTCCCGCCCCTCCTCCGACCCGTCCTGCGCTCCGTCCCGGCAGGAGCGCCACCGCGTCTCCAGCTACTCTGCGGAGGCTCTCATCGGTAAAACCTCCAGCAGTGGGGAGCAGCAGCAGCAGCAGCGCATGGGGCTCCAGCAGCCGGACCTGCGCGGCTACCTGGACTCGTCACGGGGGAAGACCAACATCTCTCACAACCCACAGAACCGCCTCACTGCCGAGCATCCGGGATCAGCCGATGTTCAGAGGGTCTCTGAGTGTCCGCCTTTCAAAGCTATGGGAGGAGGGGGACATCAGCTGGGTGGCTTTGAGGTCCAGGTGTCCCGTGGGAGTGACATGGTGCCTAAGTCAGGTCCCTCGTCCCAGAGGGGCCCTCAGGGGCAGCAGCAGGGCGGCTTCAGGATGGGCATCGGCCCTCAATCAGATGGCAGGAACCGCTACAGTGCCGCTCATCCCGGCTCACAGGGCGTGCAGGTCGGACAGGAAGTGTGTCACCAGAGCTTCATGCAGAGCCTCCTGTCCCCCCACCTGCCCGAGCAGAGCAACCACCAGCGAGTGCAGTGCTGCCCCCCCGTCAGCATGGAGTACAGCTGCGTCAGCTCGGCAGGAGACATCCAGGCCAAGAGCCCCAGCGTCCCCCAGACTCAGAAGGCCATGCGGCTCGGAGAGGGCAACAAGGGCCACATATCTCAGGTCAGCAGTAATATGCATGGAGGTGTGCGCCCAGGCCTCCCCCACCCTCCCCCCCCTCACAGCAGCTCTGAGCCAGGCCGCTCCTCTGTACCCTCCAGACCCCCCTCTGCTGTCAGCCAGCACTCCCGCCACTTAAACAGAGACTCTCAACCTACAAAGCTAAGACCTGGGGACCGGCCCCGATCGGGAGCTCTGAGGCACAGCAACCCCTTTGAGCCCGAGGGCCACCTGCCCCTCCCCTCGGGCGGGGGGGTGCTGCTGGGCAGGCCGCAGTCTGGAGGGGAGGGGAGGCGCAGCACTATCGTCCGCTTTATGGCAGATGGCGCTCAGGTTCCCGGCGACAACAACTTGGTTCCTGACCAACACCTCTCACAGAACTTTGGTTTCCCCTTTATTCCAGAAGGAGGCATGAATCCCCCGCCTTCCATTAACGCCAACTCCACCTTCATCCCTCCCGTCAGCCAGCCCAACTCCTCCCGCACTCCCTCCCTCCTCCCCGTGGAGCCTCAGAACACCTTACCCTCCTTCTACCCTTCTTACTCTCCAGCCGCTCACCCCAGCCTCCCCAGTGACGTCACCCTTCAGTACTTCCCCAACCAGATGTTTGCCAGCCCGGGTGCAGATAAGGGCAGCTCCGCTCCGCTCAACAACCGCTTCGGCTCCATCCTCTCGCCGCCTCGCCCCGTTGGTTTCGGGCAGGCCAGCTTCCCCTTGCTTCCTGATATGCCTCCTATGCCCATCGCCAACTCCTCTGGGATCACCCCGCACATTTCCAACTTCAGCCTCACCTCGCTGTTCCCTGAAATCGCCACCGGGATGCCCACTGACGGCTCGGCCATGCCCATGTCCCCCCTGCTGTCTCTCTCCAACACCTCGGCTTCAGACTCCGGGAAGCAGCCGAACCGCCCGGCGCACAACATCAGCCACATCCTGGGCCACGACGGCAGCTCGGCCGTGTGAGGAGACTCTGCTGCTTTCTGTCCACATGTTCTGAAAGATATGTTCCTTTTTAAACGTTCTCAAAGCGGTGCTGAAGACACCATGTCCGTCTGATTGTTTACATGTTCACAATCTCAATTTTTGGCATATGTATGATGTCGAAGTTATAAGTTGTAATATTTCAAAAACTTTGTTGGTTAAACTGACTGTTTGGTATTAAAACATTACATTTAATGAATTGAATGTTTCTGGGTCGGTAAGAAACCTGCAGTTACCCACCGATGTAATTTACTAACTTATATCAGGTTGTATTGTACAGAATGTCAAGAGCTATTTTGTAAATAACAATGTTTCATATCAGAATTGCTAGATTATGTATGTATTTGTAAATACAAGATTGATTAATAAAGTTTATAAGAATACATTTGTATTTGATGCCAACTGAAGAACAGTGTGTGTTTATTCTTCCACTAGAGGGCACCTGAACTCTGTCACTGACTTTAGTTTGTTGAAGCTCTGGGAGGCTGTTTTTAAATCCACCAGTGAGACACAAAGGAGATTAGTGGTTGTAGTGGTGACTTGACTCTACCAAGAGTTGATTTTAAACTTAACTTGCCACATCTGTAGAAGGAAATTACACAGCAAATGATGTTTTACTGTAAAACATAGCTAAGCGTAACATTTTCGAACCACAATTTTTGAAGGTGTCCCATTACTCATTTTTAGCATCATATCAGTATTTAGTGTCTCTACTGGGACATGTCTTCCCTGCTTCAATGTTCAAAAAGCTCTTTATTTTTCTCATACTGCCTGCGCTGCGGCACCTCTTTTCAACCCAGAAACAATGTGAACCTGAAAAAAGGATCAAATAGGGCTCCTTTATCAATCAATCATCAATCAATGTTTATTTATATAGCCCAATATCACAAATGAACGAGGATATCCATCCAGGACTTATGATCCAGGACCACAGCCACGACTCAAGATCCAGGACTCGCGATCCATGACACAGGACCGCAGGATCATCCATGACTCCGGATCCCGGCGTATATAGACACCAAAAACAAAGAAATGTGGGGAAGCTGGGTTAATCGGAACATGAGAGTACAAAGGTATAGACAGAGAGAAGGAAGAAGTAAGATGTCTGGGCCCGACACATTAGTAATAACACACACATGGATTTTCCCGATTTAGCACACGTTATTCTTTACCTTAACACTAGGGATAACATGTTTCCTCGACGTGATAACCCACACAAATTCTCACCTTAACGCTAGTGATTTTGCACATTAGCATTAGTGACAACACACTTTTTAGCCTTTGCAAACTATTTATATCCACAAAAATCTATATAACACACTACAGGAAAGGTAAAACCCCCAAAAAGCAGAATAGGTGGGTGTTGGGGAATAATTTGCTTAGGTATTCACCCTTTGACACAGTTCAGCATTTTCTCTTTCTGGTCTACGGCCTTGGGTATTGCTGCTCTCTCTCTGAGGGGCAGCTTGGGCGCATTGTGAACATCTTGAAAATGAAACCTTGTGTCTCAATGAGATCTACACCTGTATAAATAAAGGCTAAATAAATTGTTGTTGCCAGTCTATGACAGAGCACAAGCCGCCATGAGGTAGTTTACTGGCGCACATTCTTTTCTATGGACGACAGCTCTAGTGAGATTCAGGGGCCATATTTGTTTAGTCTCGCTGATGAAGAATGTTGATTATTACAATCCAAACTAGTTAAAACCTGGAGCTACA